CCAAGAAATAAATACTATTGTCTCTATAGATGAGACTGAGGCTCAAAGAGGGTAAATAACTTGTATAAGATTACCCAACTGGTGAATGGCAGAGCAGAGGTTCAAATCCTGGAGTTCTAACTCTGAAGCCTATTCTCTTAACCTTTATTGAAGAGAAACCATGAAAGATGGTATTCTATGTTGAAGAAAGAAAATCTGATTCTTCTTATTGATTGACTGATTTTAGAGAGGAAAAGGGAAAAAGAAACATCAATTTGTTGTTCCATTTATGTATGCATTCATTGGTTGATTCTTGTATGTTCCAAGATTCTTTTTAAAAATATATATATTTTATCGATTTTTTTTTTTTTTTTTTTACAGAGAGGAAGGGAGAAGGATAGAGTTAGAAATATCGATGAGAGAGAAACATCGATCAGCTGCCTCCTGCACACCCCTACTGGGGATGTGCCTGCAACGAAGGTATATGCCCTGGATTGGAATCGAACCTGGGACCCTTCAGTCCGCAGACCAATGCTTTATCCACTGAGCCAAACCGGTTTCAGCCCAAGATTCTTTTTAAATGATATTTTTTTGTTGGAGACAATGTTGACAGTTTTTCTTTAATACAGCCTCTCTCTTCCTCTACATTTTTCTATAATTTGTAGGAAACACATTCATGACCGATACTAATCTATATTTCAACTTTGTGCTATATGAGGTTACAGGTGCAAAGCTATCACGTTGGAAGGTGGTGACAGTACAGTAGTCCCCCCTTATCTACAGGGAATATGTTCCAAGACAAGCCAGCGGATGCCTGGAGTACCAAAACCTATATAGGCTGTTTTTCCTATACACACATACTTATGATAAAGTTTAATTTATAATTATAAATGTTTAATTTATAAAAAATAGGCACAAAGAGAGTAACAACTAAATAATAAAACAAAACCATTAAAAAAAGTTGTGTGAATAAGATGTGAGGTAATACAATGCTTTATGTGATAAGACGAAGTGAGGTGAATGATGAAGGCAGGGCTGATACAAGTTGCTCAATGCAATATATTTCTCATGAAGCATATATGAAAATAATTGCAGTCATATATGAAGATAAAAATAATATGAGGAAAGAAATAAAACAAACATTACTCAATAGTGTTACAGAGAACAGGAATAAATCAAGCAATGCTCAGAGATTGGAGTCACAATTTATTCACCACAGTGGGCTTAGAGAAAATGAATTCAAATTCTAAGCAAAGCTACAAGCAGAACTTCCCTTTTTATTAAAGAGCCAGCCCTTTGTGTGCTTAGTGGTTATCTTGCTGCTGGCCTTGAAAACAAGACAGTTTTATCTCAATGCACCTGGCATGGCATTGAGAGTACGGGCATATCTAGTCTCTGGCCTACAAGGTCAGACAATTAAGTTTATCTTCCTCATTATTCAAGCAGGCTAAAGCAAGCTAGAAAGCAGTTATTTATTTTTTTTTTTTAGAATAAGAGGCCATCTAAAAAATAGCAGAGAATTCCAAACAGTTTTACAAAATAGGGCTTAGCCTTCTCAATAGCACAATTTCAGGGCTTATTAAGGCAAAAGATAAAGAGATAGAACTATAACTGATTATGAAAGTAACAAAAAGCAAATTTTATGATGAGAAGGAATCTTTCTGAGGATAGGAAGTTTGCTTTGTTGGAAAACTGGATACTACCTCAGAAGACACTTCTAGCAGGAAATGATACATGTGGTGAATATCTTTTCATTCTTTGATCTCAAATTCATTGTTTTACAAATGTATTTGAAAATATAAAATGGGGAAGATCATAAAAAGCTTTAGAAATAACAGTAATATTCCTATTCTGAATCTAAATATGTGGTATTATTTCTGTAACTATTTATAGAAGAAAATACCCTCCAGGTTGATGTATAAAATTAACCATCACTCACTAGAGCACAAACTTCAAGAGCAAGACTCTGGTCTGCCATGTTTGTGACTATGTCCCCAGCATCTGTAACAATACCTGGGGCACAGGAGTTGCTTCCTATTTGTTGTTGATGGGATGAATCAAGTCTATAATATTTGAATCATGGTTCCTCATATAACAATTATCATTCCTTGTCTAAATTCACCCTTCCTCTTGCTCCTCAATGATATCTAAATACAGCTTCTAAAACATACCTGTGCAGCCTTGGCCAGTTTGCTCAGTTGGTTGGAGCATTGTTCTATAGACCAAGAAGGTTGTTGGTTCACTGAAACTGGTTCGGCTCGGTGGATAGAGTGTCGGCCTGCGGACTGAAGGGTCCCAGGTTGGATTCCGGTCAAGGCACATCCTCAGTGGGGGGTGTGCAGGAGGCTGCTGATCTGATATTTCTAGCTCTCTATCCCTCTCCCTTCCTCTCTGTAAAAAAGTCAATAAAACATATATATTTTTTAAAAAGGTTGTTGGTTCAATTCCCTGTGGGGGCAGTGAATCAATGTTTCTCAGTGACTGATGTTTCTATCTCTCTGTCTCCCTTCCCATCTCGCTAAAAATAAATAAAAACATATTAAAGAAAAGAAAAGAAAAGAAAAGAAAAGAAAAGAAAAGAAAAGAAAAGAAATTCGGTCCATTTTCCTTATTCAAGAACTGCCTATCACCATGGAAAGATTAATAACCTTGTTGCTGAAACAGCGGAGTCCAGGAGGCACCTGTCCTTTGCAAATCCCAGCCCTAATTGCCTGCAACCATTATACCCATTCTTACTCCTTTTGCATACTTCCCATGTAATCATTGTCCTTCCACCCGGTATAAGCAGCTGGCTTATAGGGTGAAGGGATAGTAGAGCAGAATTTTTGTGGATGACCTGCTGCTCTCCTGTGCTGCCGGCAATATTGGAAGATAAAAACACTCATTTCCGACTCAATCCTGTCTCTGCCTAATTGGCTCAAGTAGTGACAGGCAGCTCGGACCCATTCATTGTCCGGTTTCACCTCTACACACCTCCATTCGAATTTTAAACTGCAGTATTTTAACTGCTGATAGTTCCTTTGCATTGTTTTCTAAACTTGAATTCCCACTCTTCTTGTACCCCCCGCCCCCATCCCTAACATTTACAACACAATTTTGTCACCATTTCTTTCAGGAAAGCTTTCACCCAGGCCTTCAAGTATCCCTATCACAGCACTTAGGCGCTGTATTGCATTTACCTGTTTACAGGTCTATCTTTCCACCAAATTGAGTTTGTGAGGACAAGTTCAGTAACACACATATTTGAATATCTACAAGTTCTACAGTACCAGGCATATTGGGGGGCTCAATAAATGTTGGCTGAATTGCACTGAAGTGTGAGATGGAAGGATTGATGGGTCAGAAAACGAAAATTCAAAGCATGAAATCTTAAGTTTTTGAGGACCTCCACAGCTTAGTTGAGTTGCAGGTCGGCAGAAACGCTGGAGGTGAGCTATGCGATCGCCATGAGCTTATACTGAAATATGGTATTAGCCATACGTAGGTAAGAACTGCTGTTTGAATTTTAACCCTGCTATTCTGGCTTTGGCACTCACTTGCTTAAACAACAGGGTAGTTGCCTCAGCTTCCAGATTGAGACCTGGAGGCTAAGGCAATTTTCCTGTGCCTGTGGACCAGAACTACAGGAGATTGATTCCCACTGACTCAGTAGCTCCAGGAGTAGAAACTGTAGATAATCTTTAGAGATTAACCGCTGAGCTCTGCTTCTGTACTATCTGCTTTCACCCCTGCGGGCTGTTCCCAGCATTTAGAATTAAGAATTTAGAACAAAGGAAAAATTTTGTGGTTTAGACCTTTAAAAGGACCACCTATACTTGGAATGGCACAGGTCGTGAGTGTGGACTCCACTTGAGTGTGGTGCTCTTGCTACCGTCCTAGCCAGTTCAATAAACCCTTGCCTGCTTTTTAAAAATCAATTAGCAGCCTCCGGTGGTCTTATTTTTTTACTCCACGGTTAGACCCCACAACTATACAACTGTGAGGTCAAGTCATTAACAAGAACACTGGTGGGCAAAAATGACAAGCAGGCAGAACAAGAGGCAGCGAGTCTCTGGGATCTGGAATTAGGTACTAGTCTCCCCTTGCTAGGTTTACGCTTTCACAATCACCACTCCACTCTCCACTTCTGAATCATCTCCCTAGGGTGCCCAAGGCCCACAGGAGGCGCAGGGAACCTTGCAGGGGTGGGGAACCTCCAGCCTACGCAATCCTTTGGTCTGGCACAGCCAAGGCCTTAGGGATGAGTTAATTTAAGTATTTGACCAACTATAGCAGGCTAATTTTAAAGTTGATAATTTTGTATGTCCCTTGGTTCCCACCACCCCCCCCCCAAAAAAAAAAATTTATGTTATAAATATCCCAATGGCCCCTGGGCCCTGGCAGAAAAAAGGTTCCCCAATCCGGGAGAGAAAGGCCAGGTGCTTCGGGACAAGGTGGTGCTTAACCTAAGGTACCTAAGGTGACCAGACGTCCCGCTTTTGAACAATGTGTCCCGCGGCGTTTTAAAAAAGTCCCGATTTGTGGAAAAACGACGCGGGACACATTGTTCAAAAGCGGGACGCCCGGTCACCTTAGCTTAGTAGTTCTGACACAAAAGCCCACGATCACCCGTGAGGGTCACAAGGCCAAGGGGCCCGGCGACCTCCCCACAGCGTCCACCACGCGTCCACTTCCGCTTCCGGGTGGTTTTCCTCCGAGGGCTCTCTCCCGGCCTCCACAGCCCCGCGGCGAGGGTGGCCGCCACGTTGCAGCTCTCGCGTGACTTCCAGAGCTCGCGGCTGGGCGGCGGCCAGAGGGGCCGTCTCCCCGGACACCACGTGACGTGACGTGGGGAGGTGACTCGTGTTTCTCCTGATGTGAAGCGGCAGATGTTGAGCTCAAACACAGGGGCTCCACTCAGCCTGCGCACCCACAGGGCCCCTAGGCTCTAACGCTCTGCCCAAGAGCCAACCCTCCTAGGCGTGGGCTCCACTCCGCCTTCCCGCGGGGGCGGAACCGGAAGGGGAGGGCCTCTCGCCGCCATGGCCGCCCGCGGGGTCGTGGGCATCTTCCTCCTCTCCGCGCTCCCCCTCTTGTGTCTGGAGTTGCGGCGTGGGATCCCCGAGATGGGTAAGTGTTGGTGCGTTTCCCTCGGGGCGCCCACACCAAGTCACTTTCCCGTGAGTGTGACGTACAAGTGCCCGCGTTGACTACGACTCCCAGGCTGCCTCGCGCCCACGTCCCGCTTCCGGCGCCGGGCCCCTCCCCACTCCCGCGCGCTGTCGGCGGGGGACACTCGGCGAGAAAAATGTCCCTGCAGACCTGGCGCGTTTTCGCGAGGGAGGGGACAGACGCAGAAAGCAAAGGGGCAATGTGACGTAGGCCTCCTGAGGACTCTGAAGGGATGTGAATGATCGGAGCCGCCGCTTTGAAAACCTGGGCAAACACATTCCAGACACAGAATTGTGACGTGTTGGAGGGAAAGGATGGAGACCGCTGGCCGGTCGGGGAGAATATGGGAAGGAGAGTGGCTGAAGATGCACTCATTGAGCACCTGTTATGAACCTAACACTAAGTACTCTTTCATTCTCCAATCTGGGTACTCTATTTTTAAATATATATTTTATTGATTTTTTATTTTTAAAAAAATATATTTTATTGATTTTTTTTTTTTTTTTTTTTTTTTTTTTTTTTTAGAGAGAGAAAGGGAGAGGGATAGACAGAAACAACTATCAGCTGCCTCCAGCACACCTCCCACAGAGGATGTGCCCACAACCAAAGTACATGCCCTTGACCTGAATCGAAGCCGGGACTTTTCAGTCTGCAGACCAACGCTCTATCCATTGAGCCAAACCAGTTAGGGCTTTTGTTGATTTTTTTTTTTTTTTTTTTTTTTTTTTTTTTTTTTTTTTACAGAGAGGAAGGGAGAGAGATATAGTTAGAAATATCGATGAGATAGAAATATCAATCACCCTCTATTGGGGATGTGCTCACAACCAAGGTACATGCCTTTGACTGGAATCGAACCTGGGACCCTTCAGTACATAGGCTTATGCTCTATCCACTCAGCCAAGCCAGTAAAGGGTAATCTGGGTACTCTTATAACTCTAATAACAGTTGAGGAAACAGATGTAGGGAGTAAGGTGCCCTAAGGTTTTAAACAGGCCATGGGTCAGTGTGGAGAATGCCCAGGAAGGAAGCTGAAGTGGAAGCAATGGGGCAGCTTATGTTTGGAAGTAGGCAAGTAGTGATGATAGCCCAGACGATGATAACTGGTGAAATGTGCACAGATTTGGGATATTTACAAAGTACAACCACGGGGTTTGTTGATGGGTAATTTGAGAAAAGGGAAAGGAGGAATTCAAGGATGACTTACATGTGAGTGGAACAAAGCCATCAATAAAAGAAAATGGTGGACCTGTGGAACATCAATCCCATTTTTGGACTTATAAGGGGTCAGTTTAGGTATCTCCCATTAAACCTGGTTCTAAAGTTAGAGACCCTGATGCAACTCAGCTTTACTATTCCTGTCTTCCCATTCTCCCTCAGCCACCCCTAAGAAGTCAGGTACCCATGAATGTTCCTTGAAATAAAATAATACACTAAGGCTCTGAGTACAGTTCCTGGTCAGACCACATACAGAAGCAACCAAGAAAGCAGAATAAGTGGAACAACAAATCCACATTTCTCTCTCTTCCCTTCTCTCTTCAAAATCAATTTTAAAAAGTTAAGAAATTAAAATGCTTTTAAAAAATTTTACAAAGACCCTCAGAAGGCTGATTCAACTCAAGATGTATTGAAATCTAACAAGACCATTATCGAAATGAGATATACAAATGTGCCCAAAACATGTATGCACATTTTAACAGCTGATAGCTCAATTTTGAAAATGAAATGTATTTTAATAAACACTGCCTTTAGAATTATTCATAGTGTGTATAAACTTTTTGGGATGCCCTATAGAAATGTTAAATTCACACTTACCTATTACAGAATTCACTTTACTCTGTCACCTCTACAGCGTTCAGCTCTATTCTGCCCATTTGGAATCTTCTACTTTGAACTAATATTTGAGTCACAGGTCAATGAGAAGGTGGTTGTTGAGGTGGCTAAAGGATATTTGTTCACATAATCAGCTCTGACCACACTTCTGTACACTTGGTGAGGGCAGAGACCAATCTAATTTGTTTTTGTATTCCCAGCACTTATCATAATCTCTAAATTAATAAAGATAGGCCAAAAATTATAGAAAATACAGCTGGGTCCCTGACAACATCATCTAGTAGTTCCTTTAGTTTTCATTTATCTTCTTTTCCCTAAAATTCTCTCTCAAGTTGTGAAATTATCATTGTTTACTTTTTTTTAAATAGTATATTTTTAGTGATTTTTAGAGAGAAAGGGAGGGAGAGAGAGAAACACGATGGGAGAATAACATCAATATTGATCGCCTGCCTTGATATTGGTTCTGTAATTTTCCACTGACAGTATTTTAAGTCTGTTTTGCCAACCATACATCCCAATGCAACAGCTACAAGGCTAGTTATGTGTGAAACTGTGCTTAAAGATATTGATATTCTTAGCTGGAGCTGCTAATTGAATTTCGGGGTGGTGGTGGGGGGTGGGGGGTGGTGGTGGGGAAGAGAGTAGAATGCCAAGACCCATTCATTCATTCCACTGGGCTGTATTTTTGGACATACATTGAAAAATGATCCCTAGCCAGGACTGGTTTGGCTCAGTGGATAGAGCGTCAGTCTGCGGACTGAAAGGTCCTGGGTTCGATTCCGGTCAAGAGCATGTACCTTGGTTTCGGGCACATCTCCAGTAGGGGGAGTGCAGGAGACAGCTGATCAATGTTTCTCATCAATGTTTCTAGCTCTCTATCCCTCTCCTTTCCTCTCTGTAAAAAATCAATAAAATATATATTTTTTAAAAAGAATAAAAAAAGAAAAAAAAGAAAAATGATCCCTGCTTTTTTCTACTGTTATAGAGCCTTCATTGCCAATGCATTTTTACTTGCACTCAAGCTAAGTACAAGTCAATTTTAATGCTGGTTCCTCACACTTGTTATCCATTAAATGACCTGCACATGGGCTCTTGAGAGTAGGTACAAAAATTTTTTAAAAACTTTTTTCTTACATGAAAAGTGTACATACAAACTAATTATTTTCTATTTCCATATAACGTTTGCAAACTGTTTGCTTGTTAGAACAGAAAGCAATATTATTGGACATAAATCCCATAACTGAGTGGTTTCTTTAAATACCAGAACTCTAATATGAAATTACTTTTGTGATGGCCAGTTACTCCAGATTTACTTCTTGTATTGAGCAATGCCTGAGTCAGTAGTTAATGCTGTCAAAAGTTGGAGGGACTGTAATGCAAAGATATAAATGTAAATATAAATATATATCTGTCTGCATCTATAATTCCTTCTTTAATTTTTAGTTAGTTCACTAACTACTAATCACATCACATTGGTAAAATGTTTCCTCTGTACCTCTCCCTGGTAATTTTGAGACTTACAGAATTAAACTAAAAATTCCTGGCAGGTAGAAACCATTTGTAACCTAACTTTATAGCTCCATTCCTTCACCATTTAGCAAGTTATATTGCACAAAGTGGGCACTTATTATATTTTTGCTGACTTAATTTTCATCTTGGTTCTTAAAACAATATGTAGACCAAATACTGATTTTTTTTTTCTAGGTAAACACATATATAGTTATTTTATATACAAATGACCAAATGAGACATAAAGTGTACATACACATGCAAAAGATAAAGTACAGTTTCAAAATATAACTGTGAGAAATAAGAAATTGGTGCTCAGTGGAAATGACTGTGTGTGTATGACTTTTTAAATATAGAATTTTAAAAGATGATAACATCACCATTTAATTATTAAATGTATGGATAGTTTTATCTCCTTCTCTGGGCAGAAAGGAAACTAGAATTTATGCATTAATGATAGTCCTAATATTTATAATGTAGATAGTCACTTGCATTAAACTTATATTACTGAGACAAAAGATGTTCTAGAATTGTTTTCTGAAAACTTTTTGGTATTGACAAACATGATGAATTTTGGTGCCTAAAGGATATGAAAAATCATAGACAGTTGCATAACTTAAACTTTACTGTATTTTTCTAGGACAAATAATTTTCTAATGTGTTATTACTTAGTAGTAGTATCAAGATAAGTGTTTTTAATTTTAATATTTTTTCTTTATAAGGAATTAAAGATATAATTTTGCTGTGTGGCCGGATTTTCTTACTGCTTGCTCTTCTTACTTTAATTATTTCTGTGACTACCTCATGGCTTAACTCATTTAAACCTTCCCAAGTTCAACTGAAAGGTAAGTTTATTGTTTACCTTTTTATACTATTTTTAAATTTTTTTTATTGTTTTAAGTTTTACATGTGTCTCCTTTTCCCCTGATTGACCTCCCCCACCACTCCCACCTCCCAGAACAAGCCCCCATTGCCCCAGTGTCAGTGTCCATTGGTTATGCTAATATGCATGCATACAAGTCCTTTGGTTGATCTCTAACCCTTCTCCCCTGCCTTCTCTCTGAGGTTTGACAGTCTTGTTCAGTGTTACCTTGTCTCTTGATCTATTTTTGTTCATCAGTTTATGTTGTTCATTATATCCTATATATAAGTGAGATCATGTGATATTTATCTTACTCTTAACTGGCTTATTTCACTTAGAATAATGCTCTCCAGTTTCATCCATGCTGTTGCAAATGTTCATATACTGCAATGGAATACTATACTGTATTCCATTGTGTAGATGTACCACAGTTTTTTAATCCACTCATCTGCTCATGGGCACTTAAACTGTTTCCAAATCTTAGCTATTATAAATTGTGTTGCTATGAACATAGGGGTGCATATATCCTTTTTTGATTGGTGTTTCTGGTTTCTTGGGCTATATATTTTTCTAATGAAATGTTTTCTTTATATATTCTAGAACTTTGCACAATAAGAACCATTTACCATTAATTTATGCAGTGTAATTTCAAGGTACAGTAATCATTACGACTTGAGGCGTGATTTTTAATGGGCCATAAATCCCAACATTTTTATGAGAAATAATATATTTTCCTTACATATTCAAAACTATATAATTTTTAGGTTTGTACATTGAAAATTCTCATTTTAAATTGTGCAGCTTAACTGCTGTTTCATAAGTACACCTTATAAACTATTATACAAATGTTAAATATGTCTATCATTAATCTCTAAAGACTTTTTATCCTAAGTTATTTTCACTAGAGGCCCGGAGCATGAAAATTCATGCACTGGAGGAGGGGGTCCCTCAGCCCAGCCTGCCCCTCTCATAGTCTGGGAGCTTGTTTCAGAGCAGACCTCTTCCTACTGATTTTACTTGCAGATTTCTTAGTTTCAACTGTTGGCATGTATCTCATTTTCATTATTTTTCAAAATATCTGTGTTTTAAAGGCTTGTCTAAAAACATTTTAAGATCTACAAACTACAGATTATTTTCAGAGAAAATAGCATTCAACTTATTGATACTTGGGAATTAAACACTTCTATGTTTTGATGTCTTAGATGAAGAAGAGAAGAATGGGCAAAGGCAAAAACTGGTGAGAAAAAAACAACAAGAGGCACAAGGTGAAAAGGTAAAGCATAATTTTTAGCTAATATATCTAGAAAGAATACAGAAATATCTGGGGCATTTAAAATTTAGTCTATTGGTGTCTGTGCTCAGATTTTTTAAATTATTGAGGTCAAATTCAATGATTTAAAATTAACCATCCTAAAGGGTACAATTCAGTGGCATTAACGGTCACAAGGTTGTGCAACCACTACCTCTGTCTAGTTCCAAAACATTTCCTTCGCCTCCAAAGAAACCCCACCTTTCAGCTGCCTCTTCCATTTAATTCACCAAATTGCCGAACACATAGGAGAGAAGAAAGGCATCCGCTGTATGTTCTCAAGACTCAGGGCTCATTAGGAAACCTGGAGTGGCTCCTCTGGCAGAACACATTGTATTATAAATCTACAAGACAGATGATATTGTAGACATCCAGGGATTGGGCACTGTTCAGAATGCCCCACAAATGTTTCCATGGCAAACTGGAAGATGCGTCACCCCATGTGGTAGGCACCGTTGTAAACAACAAGGGCAAGGTTCTTGCCAGAAGGATGAATGTACCTATTGAGCATGGTAAGCACTCGAAGAGCCGAGCTAGCTTCCTGAAAAGTGGGAAGGAAAGTGATTAGAAAAAGAAGGAAGCCAAAGAGGAAGGTACCTGAGTTCATTTGAAGTGTGAGCCAGCTCCACTCAGAGAAGCACACTTTGTGAGAACCAATGGGAAGGGGCCTGCGCTGCTGGGACTCATCCCTATGAATCCATGGCACGGTAAACGTAAAAAAAAAAAGGAAGAAAGAAAAGAAAACCTATACTTATTAAGCAGTTACTTCCTCATTCCCCCTTCTTTCATCCTCAAGCAGCCACCAATCTGCTCTCTGTTTGGATGTGTTTATCTGTTCTGGATATTGCATATAATGAATTCATGTAACATCATGGCCTTTTGTGTCTGGCTTTTTTCACTTAGCATAATATTTTCCAGTGTTCATCCGTATAGCACGTATCAGAACTTCATTCATTTTTATGGCTGAGTGATTTTCTGTTGCCTGGAACTATCAAAATTAAATCATTCATTCTCTCATGGACATTTAGGTTGTTTCTTCCTTTTGGCTTTTGTGAATAGTGCTGCTAGTGTGAACTGTTTGATAGAATTAACCAGTGAATCCATCTGGTCCTGAGTTTTTCTTTGGTGATTTGTAATTACTGATTCAGTCTCTCCTTGGGTCTGTCCTGTTTCTTCTTGAGTCAGTTTTGATAATTTGTGTATTTTTAGGAATTTGTCCATTTCATTTTGGTTATCTAAATATTGTTACATTCTTTTTTATTTCTATAAGCTTAGTAGTAATATCCCCATATTCATTTCTGATGTTATTTTTTCTTAGTCAAGTTATAGGTTTGTCAATTTTACTCATTTTCTCAACTAACCCATTTTTGGTTTTGTTGATTCTATTGTTTTCTAGAATTCTGTATGTTTTTATCTCTTCTGTAATCTTCATTGTTTGCTTCCTTATTAATTCTAGCTTTGGATTTAAGTTTTTTATTTCTTGTTTTTTAAAATGTAAAGTTTAATGATTTGAGATCTTCTTTAATTAGATGTTATGTCAATTACCACTCCTCCATCTGCCCTCACGTATAGTAGTATGGGGATTGTAATATTTACTTAATCAGTAATCAAATTTGGAGTCCAAAAATAGTTTCTACTTTAACATGATCGAGCTATCAATTAATGTTCTCCCAAATGAGTTCATGTCTTGGACAAATTGTCCTGGCTTTAAGCTCCTAGAAGGAATCTTTGCATCCCCAGCCCTCAGTTTTTGTTGCATTGAATATACATTAAATGATATAGAGACGACTGCCATACAAGCAAACGTATAGAACATTTCTGTTTATTTGCATTATGTACAAATGCAAATGTTTAGAGAGTGATGCAAAGGTGGTAGATATTGCTTTTTTTTGAAAAATTGAGTTAATGTGAAAACAACTTCTAAGTTGGTTCTTACTGACAACTTTATAGACAATGTAAAATCTTAGGAATGTCAATGTATAGTAACAACACCTAATTTTCTTTTTTGAACAGGCCAGCAGATACGTAGAGAATGTTCTAAAACCTCATCAGGAAATGAAATTGAAAAAACTGGAAGAGCGCTTTTATCGAATGACGGGTGAAACCTGGAAGTTAAGCCATGGTCATAAACTTGGGGTTAGAAAATATTCCACTTTATATTTTGAATTCTATTACTTATGTTTCGTTTTACATATATTGACTTTTTTAAAATTGCAAAAGATATTAACCTGTTAATGCAGCCATTTTAAGGATTTTTTATTAGTGGTTATATATCAATTTTTATTCAGCATATTTGTGTGTTGAGCAGTTAAATGCCTAAGAACATGTAACTTAGAGCCTTGAAAGGCTCTGACATAAGGTAATCTTTAAGAAAACTATTAGCTCTATCACCGTGTTTCTTTTTTAAAAAAATATGTTTTATTTATTTTTTACAGAGAGGAAGAGAGAGAAATAGTGAGTTAGAAACATCGATGAGAGAGACTCCCATCAGCCGCCTCTTGCACACCCCTTACTGGGGATGTGCCCGCAACCAACGTACATGCCCTTGACCGGAATCGAACCCGGGACCTTTCAGTCCGCAGGCTGACGCTCTATCCACTGAGCTGTAGATTTTATGTGTAACATTATTTATGTCCCTAAAACTTATTTGCTTTTTGTTTATACTGCACCTTTTTTTTAAAAAATATATATTTTATTGATTTTTTACAGAGAGGAAGGGAGAGAGATAGAGAGCTAGGAACGTCGACCAACTGCCTCTTGCACACCCCCTACCAGGGATGTGCCCGCAACCAATATACATGCCCTTGACCGGAATTGAACCTGGGTCCTTTCAGTCTGCAGACCGACGCTCTATCCACTGAGCCATACCGGTTTCGGCTATCACTGTGTTTCATATGAGGGAATTCATATTTTTCCTCAAGGGAGAGCTCCAAGGTATAAGCTCACATTTTATTCACTTTGGCTCTTCTTTTGTAAAGCCAAATTAACCTTTGACTCTTTTTTCCTTTGGCCTCAAATACAAACTCTGTCATTTGCTCCTGGAAGTTTATAATTTCGTTTTCTTACAGAGGAAAAAGGATATTTATCAATGAATTACATTTTAGAATAACTGGCTGTAGATTTTATGTGTAACATTATTTATATCCCTAAAACTTACTTGCTTTTTGTTTATACTGCACCTGTCACCATGTTGTAAAGAAAGTGACTTGGTAAAGGGAGGTGAACAGGATTTCTATAGTGAAGCAGAATTAGTTTTTATTTATTGCATAATGGTAAACATATCACTAAACGATCAAGGGTGGGTATTAAAATTAATGCGAAATGCACCTGCTCCATATGGTGATTTTACTTCTGAGTTGAATTTGCCTTTTGTTCAGTTTTGTTAGCCTTATTTTACTCTGCCATGTCATTTTCTGAAATGGTCACAATGTGACTTAGTGGGGACAACAAGAAGTTGGACTGGGTGGACCGTCAGTGTTGTTTATAATGTAAGGCTCTCAGGACTATCAAAGAACATGAGGATTGGGATGTAGGGTTTAAAGAAAGTATCTATCAGTTGCTCCAGCCCCGGAATTTGCAGTGAAGTGGCTTAAATTTGCTCAGTTAATTGTTTAGCATCAAGATCTCTCGACTTCCTTTCCCTATGCTCCTTCCACAACTTCTCTTAGGATAGAGGGATGGGGAAAGCTGCCCATCAAAATGGTGGCCATTTTAGTCTGATAAAGAGAGCTTTTAGAAGGTCAGTGGATATGGAAGAAAGACATTAGTGAGCTAATAATATACATTTGAGAATTTGACACTTAAGTGAATTATCTTGCTAAGGAAGAAATTTTAATACATAATATTAATAAAAATAATCTTTATGATTTCTGGAATAAAATCCTTTGCCTCCTAAAGTGATTAATTCAAATGGAAGCTCAAAGTTTTAATTTGAGAACTAAAACATGTACATATAACAAGAGTACATATAACAAGATACTAGGGCTGCATTCAGCTATGCAAGTTTTGCATCATACACAAGCATATCAGACTCATGGCCAGCGGCCACATGCGAGTTTGACATGCTTGAGAGACATGTTTTTACATAAGTGTACTATTTTCACAGCCATTTAAGGCAGCATTCCTTGCTCTGCCTTGCTTCCTTTACTGAAAGGAGGGAAGGATATCTCCAGGTTTTCTTCTTTCTTCCATCCTACTGAAACCTTGGGAGTCAATTAAGATGGAAAGGCCTAAAAAATAAATAAATAAAATAAGATAAAATGGAAAGGCCTTTCTCACCCTTGAATCTATCAGACCGAACACCAGCGCTGGATAAGGATAGTGTCTACAAGATGTTAAGCTCCGTGTTATTCTGTCTATGGAGATAATGCTTTAATTTTCTGGATCTTATAGTGACAACTATATTTTCTACTGGAATGCCATCAGGGTAAGAGAAATAACCATTGTGAATACAGTTGATAGGAAGCAACTCTTTAGAAATTGTCTGTTGTTTTTGACTAGGGTGATGAAGACTTGGCGGTTGAAAATGACAGTCAGACGTCTTTTGAAACAGCAAACAGAAAAGCAGCGAAGAGACGGAACTTGCCTAAGCCTTCAACCAAGGTTTCACCACCTGCTGAACAGCCCACGCAGAAGGAGGTTGGTTACTTAATGTCTGCTCATTGCACTGTCTCCTGGTATGGCAGGAACCTTGTTCTGTGGGTGAGGTGGTACCCTGAGGGAAGAGGGACTGGCTTTTTAATCCAGATGTTTTCCCACTAATTTATAAAGTGATCGCCTTCATTAAGGGTCACTTTCCCTGCTTAATATTAGTGTTCTGAACCAAACTTAGGAGGAAGCAATGACGAGAAATGATGATAGGTTTCAGAAAATACTCAGTTCCACGCCCTAACTGGTTTGGCTCAGTGGATAGAGCGTCGGCCTGAAGGCTGAAAGGTCCCAGGTTCTATTCCGGTCAAGGGCATGTATCTTGGTTGTGGGCACATCCCCAGTAGGAGGTGTGCAGGAGGCAACTGATCAATGTTTCTAATTCTCTATCTCTCTCCCTTTCTCTCTGCAAAAAATCAATAAAATAATTAAAAAAAGAAAAAGAAAATACTCAATTCTTTTTGAGGAAGTAACTTGGTTATGTAGAAATAAAAAAATACAATGTTTACTAAGAAAACATCCCTATGGGTAGCTGAGACATGGTTAAGCATATTTAGTGAGTGGCTCCAGTTAACATGAGTGTGTCATTTTCCTCAGTGGCACTTCTGGGGAATGGATCAGTGATCATTCGCTTTGGAACAGTGCCCAGGTTTATTATCCCATTTTCCTTTCAAACTTTTCATCCTTCAGTTAAATTTGAAGCTAGCAAAGATTGAAAATAAGTGTTTTTACTGCCTCTTAGGGAAAGCTGATAGGTTATCTATGCAATCCTTGAAAGTGGTTTCTAAAATATTGCTTCTCAGACAGAGGTTTCCTGATCCCTTATAATTATAAAACCTATATAATTTTATAACTAATGTAATCCCAATAAATTCAGCCTACATATATAGGCTTTTCCAGAACTTAAAGTCAGCAAATGAGTTCTTTTATTAAAAGATGGAAATGGAGCTTGAGGGTGAGAATCAGGTCATGGAACTATTTCTTACATTTCAAAAGATCTAATGACCTGGATAGACTAGTTAAAAATTCAAGATTCTTTGCTTTGACTGGCACATGCTTTTGCTACCAAAGGAAAACTAATGGTTTACTTAATAAATACAATTAGTGTTAGTTAGATGAAATGTTATAAAATGTGGATTTCTATAGTATTAAACAACAAAACATGTACCTAGCAGTGAAATTGTTGGTAATAAGTATTTTAATGAGAGAAAGTTGTCTGAACACGTGGTTTTAAAAGAGATTAACCGAAACAGTGAAGCATAAGTAAATCGTGAAAGCAATCAAAGTGAAGGGTTGTTAACCAGTCCTGTAGAATTGCCAGTGAAGAAAAATATGCACTCATCTTAAAATGTATATATGTATGAACCTAAATTATTTTTGGACTTAATGAAATGTGTACAGATTGGTAGCTTTCATCTTAAAATCCTATTTTTATGATCTTTTGTTAGCATAGGTTGCTTACCCAAAAATGTTTTATTGAGCTTTCATTTGCATTGTAAGCTTACAAGTGAATATGAAAATATTTCGTTAAGCTTAGATATATTTAAACTCTATATTTGAAAAGAAACTCTTCTCATTGAGATAATTCTTTTCTTCAAAATGTTTATATTCATACCTACTAGAAGCCTGGTGCATGAAATTCATGCACCTGTCCCTCAGCTGGGCCTGCGCCCTCTTGCAGTCCGGGAGTCCATAGGGTGTGGGTCTAAGCCATCAGATGGATATCCTTAGCGCTTGCCATGAGCCCGGATTCTGGCTGAGTAGTGCTCCCCCTGTGGGAGTGCACTGACCACCTGGGGGCAACTCCTGCATTGAGCATCTGCTCCCTGGTGGTCAGTGCACATCATAGTGATTGGTCGTTCCACTGTTTGGCCGATTTGCATATTAGCCTTTTATTATAGGGTTACTAATACTTACTTTTCTTTAGGTTTCAGATTTACCTGAAGAACCCTCTGAAACAGCTGAAGAAGTAAGATTTTCTTTCTTTAAAAATTAAATATATTTTCTATTTCCTTTAACATCAAATATATCTTGTCTAAATTTGGGTTTTGAAAGTGAAGATAGCATACATGTTTCTGTGATTGCACTTTAACTAGTCTTGTTTTGAATATGGGAATATCAACCCTCCTCCTGCCACGTCCTGTTTGGAAGCCTAATACCTACTGTGTTTTTAGAGCTGAGGCAGAGTTAGAATATACGGCTTTTCTATAGAATTGTACACTTGAAACCTAGCAATTTTATAAGCAATGTCACCCCAATAAATTCAGTTGGGATAAAAAAAATATATATTTATATAGACTTTTCCAGAACTTCAAGTTAGCAAATGAGTTCTTTTATTAAAAGATGAAAATAGGCAGATAGCTTCAAATTGCAGTTTTCCCCTTAAAAAAGAGAAAGCAAAGAATGCAGCTACTCTTTAGATGTTTGAATGGAAGGATGGTTTGCTGTTTGGGAGGCAGGGTCGGACTGAATCCCACTCTGCATTGTGCTGCTTTCTGCCCAAGTGCTTTGTTGTAATCTAAGCTGCCGTTCGGCATTGCCCAGTTTTAGACACATCTCCAGTGCACTGGAGCATATATCTTTAAAGCCATTAAGTCATTTAGGCAAAGGAGAGCCCTGCTGGTTTTCCATTACTAGAGCTCAGTGAGTGTTAGACTCCTTAAAAGTCATTTTTACAACAGTCACGAAAGCCATTGGGAGTAGCTCATTTTTTAAAAAAAATATATATTTTATTGATTTTTTTTACAGAGAGGATGGGAGAGAGATAGAGAGCTAGAAACGTCGATGAGAGAGAAACATCGACCAGCCGCCTCCTGCTCACCTCCTACCTAGGATATGCCCGCAACCAATGTACATGCCCTTGACCGGAATCGAACCTGGGACCCTTCAGTCCGCAGACCGACGCTCTACCACTGAGCCAAACCGGTTTTGGCGGGAGTAGCTCATTTTTGTCAACACATTTGTAACATTTAAGTTTAGAACTTTGGATGTCAGAGGAAAATCCAAAAGTCCTACAGAATAGAGATAATGAAGTGTGTAATGCAGGAGAATCACAGTTTTTTTTTTTTTTTTTTTAAACACACACATTATACACATTCCTAATTCCTCCCCATTATATGTGATAAATTCATGCCTATGATATGTCTGTCCTGACACACATTCTCACTTCTTGTCAAGCTCTGGGTTGGTATCCATGACAAAATTGTATAATACAAGAGTATTTAAATATAGCTCATTTTGACAGGGAACACCTTTGATGAATTTACTCTGGCTTCTAAACATATTGAATTGTTTTATATAACAGCAGTTTATCACCAAAGGTGCATGGGTTATAGACCTCAGGTTGTCAGCGAATCCTTTTAAATTATACCTTTTTGTGGTTCTATGTAAAAGGACGGTGCTTTTTCCCCAGTCTCAGTTCTTCTGTCCCTAAAAAGGTTGAGGAACCTCCACCACAGAGGCAGTTGATGTTGCTTTCCTCTTGTAGAGAGTTATTTATAGTCATTCCATTTTGTTTTCTTTACCCTTTTCCAGTACTTGTTAGGGGATGTTTTGTGTTACACTCATTAAAGTTTATGTCAGAGTAATGGAATTTAATGGAGTGTAAATAGCTCATCCCATCTCCCTACTTGAGGCTGAAGCCACAGACAGGAGGATTTCCGAGGAATATGCTGGGAGGACTGAGGCTCTGGCTGTAGCCAGTACTTCCCTTACTCACTCTGTAAGCAGTACTGTCCCTCTTTCCTCTCCCTTCTCTGATATTTGATCCTCCTTGTTCTGTTTTGGGTTAATAAAGTCAACAAAATTATAGTAAATAATTGTTACCTGAGAATCACATGTAAAATATATGCACTATATATTGTTTTAATTGGTATAAGCAACTTTTATAATAAAGTTTTATTAAGAATATTAAGAATACCACTAATGTATAGTTAGTTGATACCTTTACAGTGTATTTTATTCCACACGAATCAAGAAAAGCTAAGAATCGGAATATTTTGATTCTACCAAAATCATCATCGGGAAAGGCATTTTCCATCTCTACATTTGGTACTGCTTTAGACTTATAAGAAGTCAGTATAAAAATTCTTAATTCCCTACCAACCAGTCATAAGCTGTTAGTCTTATTTCCCTGGGTGACTTTAAATAAATACCCTTTTATTGATTTCAGAGACAGAAGGGAGAGTGAGAGAGGGATAGAAAAATCAATGATGGGAGAATCATTGTTTCTGCATGCCCTCTACTGGGGATTGAGCCCACAACCCAGGCATGTGCCCGACCTGGAATTGAATGGTGACCTGGGTTCGTGGGGTCCTGATTTATAAGGAAGAGGAGGGATGTGAAATATAATTAATGCATTTCTTTCTTAAGTAGTACATTCTGATTTTATAATACCTGTTACCATATTACCACAGTAACCCCTTTCATTAGTATATGCTATCTTACTTCATTTTAAAAAGAACCTGCATCAAATTTTAATGATTGCTGCTACTTCTAATTTATATGTAATTTAAAAATCTGCATTTGTGACAATGATGTACTTTCTAATTTTGGATTGTATCCCAGGCATTTTATCCATTCATAAGTCAGTCCAGTACACTGTTGGTAATATTATGAGAAAATGCACAACCAACTTTCATGATACAGAACAGTTGCTAGATTTCAAACAATAATAGTTCATTTCTCTCAAGTTTCACTTAATCATAATGGAAAAAACATTAATTCACTATATTTTAACCCCGGTTTCTCATAAAGCATTTGGCTTTAATTCTGGACCAGATCACGGAACAAACCATCACTAAAAAAGTTAAATCTTATTTCTGATTCAGTTATTCTGTATTTCTTTGTTTTATTATAAAACTTTTACGTAGAAATAATAACAGCTCAACTGATTTGGATGTGAATCAAATACCTTAAATACTTGAATGGAAATATTTTCTAATATGGCTTTCCTCAAGGGGGTAGGTACTATTCTAAAACCACCATTTCACCCTCGCTGGTTTGGCTCAGTGGATAGAGCATCAGCCTTTGGACTGGGTTTGATTCCGGTCAAGGGCACAGGCCTGGGCTGTGGGCTCAACTCCCCAGGGGAGGGTGTGCAGGGGGAAGCCAATCAATGATTCTCTTTTATCATTAATGTTTCTATATCTCTCCCTCTCCCTTCCTCTCTAAAATCAATTTAAAATATATTTATATACAAAATACCACCATTTCTATATACTGTGATACTCACATAACTTCAGACTGTAAGAAAGGGTTTCCTGACAGCTAAAGAATGAACGTCAGAAGAAATGACTAATTCCTCACCTTTTCTTTTTAGAATGTCCTTTAGTATACTAGCAGTGTGTAAGCTCTTTATAGCTGTTTTCCTGACAGTTTTATCAAAGGGAAGGTTACGGGAAAACTCGGTACATGATGCAGATAATGCAGGACTGATCCCACGATAGTTCTCCGAGCTCTCAGCAACCAGGACCAGCTCTCGTCTGTCTCCTTTGCTTGGATGGCCGAGGCATGGTGCACAGCCCACAGCAGTAGAGTGGACTGGGGGACTTTTTGTTCCCTCCAACCCACTGTTTCTCTGGTCTGAAGACTGAGCTGGCACTGGACCTTCCTGGTCGGGGAGGCCACTACTGAAGCCCAGTTGCAGTCTGGATGTGATCTGGACAGGCATATTGTTTAGTCTCGGTATCCTCTCTGGAAGGCTCTCCTCAGTCCATAGGAAGATGTTTTTCAGTTCCAGAATTATTTCTGCTTAGTGAATTTTATATGGACTCTATGTTGGTCCAATCTCTCAGAGCTAATTCCTGCAAAATCCCTCGTGAGTTTTTATAATCACAGATGTTATCGTTTTGGAATTGCATAGAGCAGTGGATTGGAATTCTTATCCGAACATTTTCCCCCCCCTCAGGTAGTTACTGTAGCTCTCCGGTGTCCAAGTGGGAGTGTCCTAAGGAGAAGGTTTCTTAAGTCTTGCAGTTCACAGGTGAGGAAATTTGTATTTTGAGAAATATTTTAAATAAATTTGACAATAGTTTATTCTCATGCAGTGGGAGAGGTTTTACCTGTTATCTGGTACTCTCATTACTTTCATGTAGTCCATGTTGAGGATAAAGAGCATTTCTATGTATATACTACATTGCAGAAACTTGGGTAATTAGTCCTGCTGGGTCCTTTTGAACTGTGATTGCTGCAAATTTTTTTCCATTTTCCTATTTTTTGTCTTTTTGTAGTTGTGATTACAATTACATTTTCACAGCTTGGTGGGTAAGATGCTTTCAAAGCAGCCGGTATTAACTTTGTTCCCATTATCTATTAGTTCCTGCTTGATTTTGATGTGGCCAAGATTATGATTCAAATTATTTTTTCCCTCAAATGCTAACCTTTTGTTCTGAATCTTTATGTTTTTTCATTCATTTTTTTCCCCTTGCTTTTTCTCAATGTTTTTATTGAATAATGAGAAGCCCGATGCACGAAGATTCGTGCTAGGATGGGCCTTCCTTTCCCTGGCTACCGGCAATGCCTTTCCACTCCAGCCCGCCTTCCCACGCTGCCCTGAGACCTTGAGAGACCGGGGGTGGGGCAGAACACCTGTGTCACCCGCCCCCAGTCATTCAGCGCCTGTATATGCAAATTAACCACCATCTTTGTGGGGCCAATTTGCATATCACTCCTGATTGGGCGTAGAGGAGGTATGGTCAACTTACATGTTTGTCTATTATTAGGTAAGATCTTTCCCTTCACTACGATTGGGGCCTTGCTATTTGTTAAATGCCTCTGCTGACTGTGGGTGTCAGTAGTCCCTGGGCCTCAAACAAAATGTATTAAAGGTTATTTACATCTCAGAATCCATGATATAATATTTTTCTTTACACTTCAGAAAGCTCCTTTGAAAGGTATAAACATCTCATTATTCCTAGGGGCATGTTTTAACAATGAAAGAATTATAAAATATCATGATGACCCTGAGGAACACCAGAGTGTACAGTATTGACAACTACTTTTCTTATCTTTTAGGTTTTACTTGACTGGATGATGAAAATTGGGTACCACACATCCCTATACGGCCTTTCTACTTCCTTTCCCAGAATACCTCTGGAAGTTGAGGGAGACTGTTCACTGCAGGACCTAGGAATAACTGTGGATACTATACTCAACGTGGAGGAAAAAGAGCCATGCAACTAGAAATGAAGAATACCTGTTCTACATAAAACCAGTTATGTGTGACCTTACAGGACAACAAAGGATTCACATTAAAATCATGCTATACCTTGACTGAGCTCAAGGCAGTAAACACTTTAGTGTTAATATCCATCCTGTCTAATAAAGAGGGAATATGCTAATTGACCCTCACGCCATTGCAAAATGCCAGTGCCCACAGCCAATGAGGGAATGTGCTAATTTACTGCCCCACCCTCAAAGATGGTGTCATCCAATAAGAAGAGGATTATGTTAATTGACTGCCATGCCCTCTAAGATGGCAGCACCCACAGCCACAAGATGGCGGTGCCCAGTTCCCTCAGCCCCACTAGGGTGGCAGGCCTGGCAGTTCCATGCACCTGCCTCCAGAGTCCCCCAGTCCCCTCAGCTGCGCAGGGCTAGCCTGAAGCATAGGCAAGCCTCGAATGGTGGCTGCCCAGCCAAAGCCCAAGTGCAGGCAAGCCTCAGATGTCAGCTGCCCAGTTGCCCAGGGCTGGCCAAGACTTGCGCTGCCAGTAGTGGCAGCAGCAGAGGTGTGATGGGGGCATCGCCTTCCCCTGATCGCCAGGTCACCTCCCACCCCTGAGGGCTCCCGGACTGTGAGTGGGGGCAGGCCGGGCTGAGGGACTCCCCTCCCCCTCCAGTGCATGAATTTTCATGCACTCGTCCTCCAGTGGGAATATATGGACATAAAGAGTTAGGAAAGGAGTGCTTTCTACATACAGCGTATCTATTCTTAGGTATCACCTTTGATCATTCACAGATCTTAAAATTTTTTTCAAATACAGTTATTCAGTATTATATTAATTTCAGGTATACAGCATAGTGAGTAGGCATATGATTATATATAACTCAAGAAACAATCTCCCTAATAAGTCTAATACTCCTGACCCTATATGTAGTTATTATAATATTATTGACTATATTCCATAAGCTGAACTTTACATCCTCATGACTATTTTGTAACTGCCAATTTGTACTTCTTAATCCCTTCACCCTTTTCTCACCCCAACCCCTCTCCCATCTGGCAACCCTCAGTTTATTTTTTTATCCATGAATTTGTTTCTGTTTTATTTTTTTTTAGATTCCACGTACAAGTAAAACCACATGGTATTTGTCTTTCTCTGTCTGACTTATTTCACTTGCATAATACCCTCTAGGTCCATCCATGTTGTCACAAATGGTATGTTTTCATTCTTTTTTATGGCTGAGTAAAATTCCACTGAATATATGTTCCACATCTTATTTATCCAGTCATCTATCAGTAGTAACTTCAACAGAGACAGAGATGTAAACCTTAAAGAGGGCTATGGACCCCCAAAATTCATCTGGCAGGAAGCCAGCGGAGGAAAACGGCTGTAAACTCGTGCTGCCTATTATGTAAAGGAAGTGAAACCAAGGCCTTTGAAGGGTGAGTCAGGAAGTAGTGGAGTGTAATTTCCTGGCAGGGAGTAGGACTGTGTTCTAGATGAGGAATTTATACTTGGCTACCGGGGCTTCAGAACTGCTCCCGGGCAGAAACATGTGTGCCATCCATTTTCAGTCTTTCTAACCAGAGTCATCCTGTCTATCCCACCACCGTGTGTTGGGTTTGCAGAGGGGCAATACATGTCTGGTTGATAGGCCTACAGATCAGGAGGAAATGTTCGTGAGAGCTGTGCTAAGAAGTACACATGTCCAGTCTCATCTGCCTCTGGACCTGATTTATAATAGATGACAAAATTCTGGACTAGGCAGGGAATGGGAGAAAAGGTGGCTGCTCTATGTGCAGATGAGGAAATTAGATTTTAACAATTTTAAAAATATATTTTATTGATTTTGTACAGAGAGGAAGGGAGAGAGTTAGAAACATTGATGAGAGAGTCATCGATCAGCTGCCTCTTGCACATCCCCTTCTGGGGATATGCCCGCAACCAAGATACGTGCCCTTGACCGGAATCGAACCCGGGATTTTTCAGTCCCCAAGCCGACGCTCTATCCAAAGAGCCAAACCGGTTTCGGCAGATTTTAACATTTAAAAAAAAAATGTTTTATTGATTTTTAACAGAGAGAAAGGGAGAGAAATAGAGAGCTAGAAACATCGATGAGAGAGAATCATCGACCAGCTGCTTCTTGCACACCCCCTACCGGGGATGTGCCCGCAACCAAGGTACATGCCCTTGACCGGAATCGAACCTGGGACCTTTCAGTCTGCAGACCGATGCTCTGAGCCAAACCGGCTTCGGCAGATTTTAACATTTTTAATGGCCTAGCATGGGCTACTGCATCACTTTGCAACACGACTGGCTATTCAATATGTGGGTCTTGGTGCAAAATGAAAAAGCAGGCAGGACACCTTACTCAAAAATGAAGAATTCACACGTGGCTCAGTGGTTGAGCATTGACCCAGGTCAGGGTTCAATTCCCGGTCAGGGGACATGCCCAAATTGGGGGCTTGATCCCCAGTGGAGGGCATGCAGGTGGCAGCTAATGATTCTCTCAATATTGATGTTTCTAGCTCTCCCTTCCTCTCTGAAATGAACAAAAATATATTTTAAAAAATAAATGAAGGCCAAAACTATTGGCTCAGTGGATAGAGCGTTGGCCTGTGGACTGAAAGGTCCCAGGTTCGATTTCGGTCAAGGGCATGTATCTTGGTTGCAGGCACATCCCCAGTGGGGAGTGTGCAGGAAGCAGCTGATCAATGTCTCTCTCATTGATGTTTCTAACTCTCTATTTCTAAACCTTCCTCTCTGTAAAAAATCAATATATTTAAAAAAAATAAATGAAGAATTCAAGACAGTGACAGCACAGCGTTCTACGTGTGGGGCTGTGACTGCACAGGTCATACCATGTGCCAGTCCTGGCTGCAGGCCTCAGACACAAACAGAGTTCCCACTCACCTGAAAGCTCTTCGCCGGCCTTCAGCTGGTGCTCATGAGGAAGGAGAGCGTGCAGATGGCTGGAGGTCACCTCGAGGCAAACAAGGTGATTGGTGGCTATGGAGGGACAAGCTCAAAGCCCCACTAGCTGGTTGGGATCCTTCTCTACAAAATCTTAACCCACAGGGGGCAGTACACCAAATACTATGGTCACGGGACACTGGCAAAGATGTTTCTAGAGAAGCAGTAAAAGCAAAATCCATCCTCCTCCCCCAGGACACAGGCAAACACATAGTGCTGCTGGGGAAAGGGTAAAAGGAACCATTCTCTATTTTGGTGGAGGAGCAGGTTCAGATAACAAACAGATGCTTGCTATTACTGGGGAGTAACGATGGCAGTCGACAACAGGGGAAGTGTAAGAGCAGGAAGAAGGCCCTCTCTGATACAGGTGAGCAGGGCTGACAGAAAGCTGAGGGCAGAGCAGGCACACAGGAAAACCTGGCATCTCCACCCCTATCCTAAGCACAAAGGAGCAGCAGCCAGCCCATCAGTAGTACAGTTTGAGGTCTATGGGCTTCGAGTCTGACTAACAATAGACTTCTACTGCAAAAATATCTTTCAAAAATGAACCTGAAACACTTTTAAGACAAAAGCTGAAGAAATTCATCACCAGCAGACTTGTGTTAGGGTTACACAGGCCTAATTAGACTACTTAAACAAGTCTTTAAGGCAGAAGACAAACCAGAAGGAAATAGGAATCTATACAAAGACATAAAGAGCACTATGTGGGTTATTTAAGAAATCTTTGCTTAACCCAAGGTCTCAAAGGGGTCTGTGTTTTCTCATAAAAGCTTGTAATAGGTTTTATGTTTAAGTCTATGACCATTTTCAGTGAATTCCCAGTTGAGGCACGTGCCTGAGTTGCAGGTTCAGTCCCATTGGGGTGTGTGCAGAAGGCAACCAATTGATGTCTCTTACACATCGAAGTTTCTCTCTTCTTTCTCTTAAATCAGAGGGAGGCACATCCTCAGATGAGGATTGAAGAAGAGAAAAATAAATGATTCTTCCTAATTATATAATATTCTACAGTTTTGGCATACAATCCATGTGAAGACACAAATTACCTAATGAATGTTTAGAGAAAAGTTTTTTATGGTCTAAAAGATATCCAATACTATTTGATTTTTTTTCTTATGAAAATAAGCCCTATACACAATGGAAGCTAAAGAGAAAATAAACAAATGGGACTACATCAAAATAAAAAGTTTTTTTACAGCAAAAGAAACCATCAACAAAACAACAAGAAAGCCCACGGTATGGGAGAACATATTTGCAAATAATACCACGGATAAAGGTTTAATCTCCAACATCTACAGACAGCTGATACAACTAAATAAAAGGAAGATGAATGATCCAATTAAAAAATGGGCAATGGACCTAAATAGAATATTTACAAAAGAAGACAGAAAGAAGGCCAAAAGGCACATGAAAACATGCTCAAAGTCACTAATTATCCGAGAGATGCAAATCAAAACAACAATGCGGTACCATCTCACACCTGTCAGAATGGCCAACATCAACAAATCAACAAACGACAAGTGTTGGCGAGGTTGCGGAGAAAAAGGAACCCTCGTGCACTGCTGGTGGGAATGCAGACTGGTGCAACCACTGTGGAGAACAGTGTGGAGTTTCCTCAAAAAGCTGAGAATGGAACTCCCATTTGACCCAGTAATCCCACTTCTAGGAATATATCCCAAGAAACTAGAAACACCAATCAGAAAGGATATATGCACCCCTATGTTCATAGCAGCACAATCTACAATAGCCAGAATCTGGAAACAGCCTAGGTGTCCGTCAGCTGATGATTGGATCCAAAAACTTTGGTACATCTACACAATGGAATACTATGCTGCCATAAAAAAGAAGGAATTCTCATCATTTGCAGCAACCTGGATGGAATTGGAGAACATCATGCTGAGTGAAATAAGCCAATCAATGAAAGAGAAACACCACATGACCCCACTCATTTGTGGATAATAAAGATCATTATAAACTGATGAACCAAAAGATAGATATAGAGACAGTAAAGCAACAAGCAGATTGTCAAATTACAACGGGGAGGGG